TGTCGGGGCATCGCGTCCAGACTCCCCCGATCTGCCGACAAACAGCTGATCGGCAGATCGGGGCAGCCATTTAAATTTAAATGAAGCCGCGATTATTTTAATTGCGGCTTCATTTCCCTCTGCCGATCTGGCTAATCTACATGCCTCCGTCGAAGGAGGCATGTAGTCTAGACACACCCTGGGTGTCTGACTATTTTGGTTAGGGAGAGGTATGGGCTGCGCCCACGAAAGCTCAGACCACCACCTATATGTTTTGTTAGTCTTTAAAGTGCTACTAGATTCTTTGTTGTTTAAGTTTATTAAAAATTAGAAACAGACTTCTGATATGACTGGAAACCCAGATTCAAAGCTTTAAAGGCAAAATAACTTTAAAAATGTTTGTCAACATGAGGTAGAGAAAAGGGAGCATGCTCGGAACATATGCAGAGCAACCCCTGCCTGAAGCAGTCCCTCCCATGCATCAATACGCCTCACCCATTAAGGATGAGGCTTACCAGTTAAAACCTCACACCCCTAATAGTAACTAAGTTTCATAATGCTTAGAAGAAAAATATTGATGCTCTGCAACTGACTTCACAGATTCTCTTTGGAGAGAGCAAATTTTGGATAGGAAAGTGTGCTGCATCTCCAGCGGAATGAGACTCAATCTCAAAGGAGGCTACCAGATTGCTGATTTATCTTCCTGGAAAATGAAATCATTTGATCCACCTGGCAAAGCAGGACTTGGAGAATAATACAGCTCTTTCCGGAGTCTGCCAAATACCACAAGAAAAGCTTTAAACTTCCTTCACGGTTTCAAATAGTTTAGAAATGATTGTCCACATCACATCTCATGAATAAAAATGTATTACTAAGAAGTCAGAAGGCCTATGGCTAGAGAGGGGAAAACGGAATGGTCTTCTTTTGGTATCACTATTGTAGTCTGGACAGGGTCAAGAGATGACTGCAGACTACCTCACCTATGTAATTGAAAATAGCAATTTACAAATAAACCTCAACATTGTTTTGTCCCTCAACTCACTCAAAATGAAAGCCATGAAAAAAAAAAAAAAAAAAGAGGGAAAAATCTTGATTATGCTTGAAAGTAGCTTTCTACACTGCCAAATAAACAATCAGTGACAAACTACTAAAAAGTGGTAAGAAACAGTAGAAGTATGCCATAGAAGAGGCCTGAGTACATGGCATGTGAGCACTGGGAAAATGACCTTGTGGAAGTAGGTGTCCTTTGGGTCAAGAGTGGCATACCAGTCTCCTGGATCTAGGGCAGGTATAATGGAGGCTAGGAAGACCATGTGGAACATGAGCTTCTTTAGGTCCAATATGGATCACAGATCAGCCTTGGTTTTCAGAATTAGGAAATACCTCTTTCGATACTGGGGTGGAACTTCTTCCACTGCTTCCAGTTGCAAGAGCTACCAGACCTCCTGAGTGAGAAGGGTCCCTAAAGAGCTTTCCATTCTTTTGCCCCTTGTTTGAGGGGGCTGCAAGGGGGGGAAGGATGGAGCATGACCATTCCAGAGTGGAGGACTTGTTCAGTCTCCACTTGTACCCCCTGTACTTTCCGGCTGTAGACTCTTGTCAGGGCTGGCTATCCTAACCAGTAGAGTGTGCTGGTTTATGGTTCCTTCAGGTAGGAGTGGGAACATACAACTCCAGGATCTTAAGCATAGTACAGTAGTCCTTCAGCCTCTGTAAACTTTGAATCTGTCTGCTCAGCAAACAGAGTTTGACCATCAAAGGGAGGTCCTGTGGAGAGTTCTGTGTCCCTATGGACAGGCTAGAGAGAAGCCATCAGGACACTCAATGCATCGTGATTACAGATGCCATTGTGCAAGTCTGTCGCATCAGAGGCAGCTTGCAAGGCAGCCGAGGCAGCTTGCAAGGCAGCCTTGGCTGCCGCAGCCCCCTGCCTCTCCTGGTTAACCACCTCCCTCACTAAGAAGTTGGGCATGGGCGGGGAGGGGGGGGAGGGGAATAGAGGTAGCTGTAGACCTTAGCTGGGATAAAGTCCTTACTTTCTGATCTTTTTGAGACAGGCAGCAGGGGTTTTAAAACAAGGTTGTGATGATCTTTCTGACTGTCACGTGAAGGTAGGGCCATCTGGGCAGTCGCTAGGGAACTAGGCACATCCAAGAGTGCATCTGCAGGCTCCTTAACTCGTCTGCTTAGAGTCCCAGGTTGGCTACTACCTACTTCCAGAGCTCTTGATCCATCTTGGCATCCTCTTGAGATTCCAAGTGCAGGAGACTTGCAATGGTCTTCTGTGGTGGACACCAGCGCCACCACATCAGTCCTCTCCTCTGGAAGGGACTGATGACTTGTTGCGGTGCTGTGGCTTGGTGCTAGGTTCCTCTCCTGGGCTTGCCCCTTGGAGGGGAAACTGGAAGTTGATGGCCACTTGGAAATCACCAAGGTTGGGTGTGACAGCTGGATGGGCTAAGTAAGTCACCAGGGAACCATGGTGTTGGCCATTGTCCTTGTAGTCATCCCTGCAGTGGCAG